AATGGAAAACACTTTTCGTCGAATATAAACAGTTGCACTTCACTTGTTGCTCGCTTCTTATTTGATGGATTACAAATTCTCGCGCGTTTATTGGATGATTTTTACATTATTTTTGCCAAAAAAAGGCCAACAATAGTCGTTTTACCTTGAAGATTCTAAAAGAGTCCACTATATGTTCTAATGTCTGAAGTGTTTAAGAAAGTTTGTCAAAAACATCCATATCCCCGGTTATTATACTGGTTTGATCCGATTATCCCTTTTTTTAAATTCATTATTATTGGTCCCTTTGAAAACATTTTCTCAAAAATATCCACGATATGCTATGATTGCTTTGATCCAATTCCCGATTTTTAATTCATTATTATGGTCCCTTGTTTTTTTTTTTTTTTTTTTGAAGCAATTCTGAAGAACTTTGTAGTAGATCCATAAAGAAATGGTCTTCAACAACCACGAGTATCTAAAAACTTAGTTCCTTCATTCATTTTAAATTTCAAAAAAAATAAGTAATTCATAATTATTGGTCTTTAGGTTTATGAAGACATATTTCAAAAATATCCACGATTATCCTTCAATGGTCTACTTAAGGTATTATTAAGGTTATTATAATTATTGGTCTTTAGGCATTAAGAAACATTTTCTTTAAAACAATAAAAAACATTAAGTTCGGCCGGCAAAGATAAAAATTGTATTTTAAAATGAATTCAAACGTATTCCACTTAAAACTACAAATACCAGTAAGACTGTTTGGATAATGCAGCTAAATTTTCAAAAAAAAAAAAAAACAATGCAGTGAGGCCGTTATTGAGGACCATACTAAACGGGAACCAATTTCGTGGGTAAATAGACTAGGATTATCAAAAACGAATATCGGTGGGTATCGTTAAATATATGTGCGCTATAGGAAAGTGGAAGTAGATATTCAATGTTTAGATTAACATGCAATTAAATTTTCAAAAAAAAAAAAAAAAAAACAATATGCGGTGAGGCGTTATATAAGGACCATACTAAAACGGGAACAATTTTATACTTCAAGGATGTTATTCTACCAAATATTCTTAATACCCAATTTTGAAACAATTTCGTGGGTAAATTGTTTTTTTTAATCAAGAATAATCCTAATAATTAGTTTTTCTTAAAAATATCATCGATTATTCTTCAAATTTTAAACATTTTTATGAATTTCTTGATTATTGACCTTTCAAGAAAAATATTTTTTCTTAAAAATAATGATATTTATATTTAAATTTTGCGTGAACGGCATAATAATTATATTCCATTATTTGCAGCATACATCTACATAATAAAATGTTAAGTCTATTTGGCTTGATTTAGCAGCTTGATAGAGAATTCTTATTTTCAGTGGAAGATGCTAATGTGATATTAGTCAATTTGTTTATAAAAATATAAACATTAAGCATAATCAAAATGACGGTCGACTTTAATGACTACTTTTGGGTAAGATTTTAAATATCTGTGTTCAAAAAACTAAAATATATATTTGGATATCATATGTTTTTAGGGGGAGAAAAATAATGGATTCGACGTTCTTTATCATAATATGAAATTTGGCTTACAAGCTAGCAAAGAACTTTCGGAGTTCTTTAGAGAGAAATCAAATATTGAAGAACAAAACTCAAAATTAATGTCAAAACTAGCTCACAAGGCTAGTACAGGAACACTAAACAGTACATTCGCACCAATATGGACAATATTACGAACATCGGCAGAAAAACTTTCTACCTTACACATGCAAATGGTGCAGAAACTAAGCGAACTTGTAAAAGATGTAGCAAAGTATGCCGATGAACTGCATAAGAAGCAAAAGGCTGTTAAAGAGGAAGAAGCTCAAACTTTGGAATGTGTGAAAGCCATACAATTTTCGACTTCAGAGGTGCAAAAAGCAAAAGATATTTATAGTGGCAAGGTACAGGAATTGGAAAAACTACGAAAGGACAATGCTTCGCAGAAAGATATTGACAAAATGGAAACGAAATTGCGAAAGTTGCAGGAGGAATACAAAGTGTTATTGGATAAACATAATCCTATTAAAATCGAATTCGAACGTCGAATGACGCAGACATGTAAAGTGAGTAATGGTTATACTTAAATGTATATGTATATATATATATAGTTATAATGCAATTATATAAAACATATTGTCAAAATCCAGCGTTTTCAAGAAATTGAAGAGGTCCACTTGCGACAGATGAAAGAGTTTCTATCCACATACTTGGAATTACTACAAAACAATCACGATATGGTCGGACAAGTAAGTTCTCATAAAGGCACGCAGGACATGTTAATTGTTTTTGTTTATTATTTTATGACTTAGGTGCATTCGGACTTTAAACGGCAGTTTTTAGACATGACCGTTGACAAATTGCTGGAACAATTTGTTTTAAATAAATACACAGGCTTGGAAAAACCTGGTTGGTAAAACAAATTAATAAATCAATCAATTCACATTTACATAATATTTTTTCATAGAAATGCCAGAACTTGAATTCATTCCATTATCAATCAATCAACAGACGCTAGCTTCTTCGAATGCCCGTCTTAATCAACCATCGATAACTTCGAATTCTAATTCTGTAACCAGTATCAACCGTGGAGGAAATACTGCATCGGATCAACGTGGGGCTGAGGGCTTGTCAATAGGTAGCATTGCTAGCGGTAGTAGTGGCTTAGCAAATGTCGATGAAGCAATGAACGAAACAAGAATTTCAAAGCCACTATCTCGACCAACATCGCCTGATGGTAATTCCACCAATGCTGCAGGCGGATTGAAAAGTAATTTCCGAAATTGGTTTTCTTCTAATAACACGAACAAACAACAGCAACAAAATGTTGGAATGCCTACTTCTGTCACTAGTGGTAGTGGAAATTTCGGTACGGATAGTAATTGCATCACAAGTTCGCTATCAGCCAATATAATCACAAATAATACTACTTGTACCACCACCACTACTGGCACAAATACCACAACCATCAACAAAAATCCTCTAAAATCAGAGCTTCAATCACAACAGGAAAAACATACTCAAGGTTCATTTTTTGATAAATGATTCTACTTTTTAATCCCACACATATTTTTATTTAAAAATAGGGCATTGAAAATCGATTTTGAGCGATAAATATCGTTTTTAATACAGGTCTACTATCGATGACTATCGATTTATAACGGCGATAGTAAATTGACGGCGTTGGAAATTTGACGGCGTTAGAAAATGACGGCGGTAAAAATTTGACGGCGTTGAAAAATGACGGCGTTGGAAATTTGACGCCGTTGAAAAATGACGGCGTTGAAAATTTGACGGCGTTAGAAAATGACGGCGTCAGAAATTTGACGGCGGTAAAATGTTGACGGCGTTGGTAAAATGACGGCGTTAGTAATTTGACGGCGGTGATTTTGACAGCGGCAAATGTAAGTGAACGGCGGTAAGAATGGAAGGCGGTGAAATTAATTTCTGTAGACTTTGACATAAATAAAAAATGGCGGCAGAAGCGAAGAAGTAAAGACAAAGAAATGAAGAAAAAAAATTTGCGGAGAGTTAATAAAGAAGTAGCAGAGGTAATTTGCTGATTTTCGAGGAAATAAAGAGAGGATATTATTAATAATGAAGATCTCTTTTACATAGGAATGAGACGTGGAAATGGATTGAATGAAATAAGGAGAAATTCGATGGGATATTTACTCAATGGACAAGTTGAAGAATGGATGCCGAATATTGTAGCAGGTTTATATATTTAGCAGTAATCTGGAAATGGATGCGTGAAATAATGACGGTGAAATTATATGCATGATGGCCGGACGAGAGTGTTGTTTATTTAGAAAGTTTTCGCTTTGGCAAATTGATTGGTAAAGTGCCACACAGACGCTTATAAATAAACAAGCCGTGATTGCATTCAGTGGATAATTGTGGTGGATGTGGTATAATGAACAAGAGACAAATCAAAGTGGAAGAATGTTTGTTTTATGTCGGGTCAAATTATTAATGGTATTCGTATATTTGTTACAACAGAGATATAATAAAAACGATGTAAAGTAGTGTTATATACAAATAAGAAATATGTGTTGATGTAAATATTAATTTGTTAATAAAGACTACTATATCACAAGTCCTTCAAATATTCTTCATCTTCTTTGAGAAACTTTTCGGCTACGTCTTGGGGTACATCCACTTGTTTGTAGTTGTCTAATCCAATTTCGTCTTCTTTCCTGTGGTGTAGATTTAATTGTGGAATTAGTGGAAGTAAATTGTGGATGGTGATAATGGAATACATACTTAATTAATATATCGACAACATTTTCACAAGCGAGTAAACATTCCTTATTCTTGGCAATTTTTGCTTCCCATTTGTGATACTCCCTCAGGATCTCATATACTCCTTTTGATCGTAAATGTTCTCTAGATTTTCTACGCGAGCACAATTGCAGCAAGGATTCCAAAAGCATTTTTCTTAGGTCGGGGTCTTCCTCTCGGGTTTTGGTTTCTGGAAGGAACTTTAGGAAGTTACATTTGTAAAAGGATGATGGGCAAGAACGATGGTCGGCAGAATTCAGAACGAGATGGGCTTACTTGTAGGTCTATGGGTAACATGTCATTTTCTTCATCAGAAAATTCTTCTGGGCCACATAGAGGATAGAGCAATGCGCAGAGAATATCGTCAGGATCACGTAGTATTATGTCATGGTAGACAGGGTCAAAGCAAATATTTTTCAAGATACCAATAGTTCCACCTCTTCGTATTAGTGAATCTTGAAAGGAAGCAAATGGAAGTATTTTGTCTATGAGATTGTATTTGTCAAGACAAATGATTTCTCTTCCTCTCCCTGTTTGGGTTAAATTGCAAAATATTGGGCCAAGATAGTCTAGCTTGTTTTTCTTCTTATTGTAATCCAGTTTGGTGAAAGCTTTAACCATTTTGAGGATGTCTTTGGGATTCAATTCATTTAGGATGTCATGTGCTATTGACTCCACCCTTGATATGTTGCTCAGCACCATGGTCCAAGCATCTGCCAACTCGGCATTTTCGTCTGTTATGATTTCAATGGCTTTACAAACAATATGGAATGGCTGGAAGTGGAAGTGAATTAGATGATGGGTGCAGGTGAGATTTATTGTTTATACTACGAACGGGATCTGAATTCTTTGCCAATTCATAGACTTTGAGGGCTCCGTCTTCTTCTGCTGTTATATTTATGAGGCACAGGACCGCATCTTTTGCAACAACATGGTGGACATCGGTAGTCAAGTTAAATAAGGCAACTATGATGTTATCATGGGATAGTATAGCAGCTTTTCCTTCTGATGAACCCGTGAGGCCTATACAAATGGAATGAAATATGTTGTGATCTACTTTTGAATGCGTTTTAAATATTGATACCTAGGATATGTGTTAGGGCAACCGACTTTAAATCCAGCCGCTGACTTGGGCGTAAAAACTCGGTAAATTCTGCCAAACTTTCCATTGAAGTATTTCAATTTAAATATATGCAAAAATCTGGGTAATTATTTGAAAAACAAGGTTGAATGTGTATTTATGTTTTGGTCGTACACGTGAATATGATTTAGATACCCGTTCTTTATTAGAAGACGGTCGGTAATTGGTATTCGATAGCTATTGAAGACACAACGCAATATTGAGTACATAGTGTTGGAAATTTACAGCAAGGGTGTACAGAAAATATGTATAGATTGTACAGTGTATAACTAGGCGGACATGTGTGATAATCGTGAGAATCGCTTGCGGAAAAATATATAATATATTTGATGTAATCATTGGCATTTTCCAGTTCTCGAAGTTGTTTCATTGTATAAAAATAATAAATTTCGGTAAGCAAGACATGGAAGATATTTTCTACTATTTTTTTGCGATGAAAAAAGTTTGGGAATACATATTTGGGGTTAATGTCATTCACACTGGATTGATAACTTTTGATTCAACTAACAATCGAAAGCCGATAATAAAAATCGATAATATTGACATTTCGCTTGATTTATGTTTTAGTCGATAGTCGACTTATCTATACCTATTTAATAAATTTTTTCCTAGTTGTTTGAGTCTTTTACAACAAAAAATTATTGTGTTGCGATGCAGTCACTATAAATTCTAAGATACTTCCTGTGCTTTGTCCACTTTTAGCAACAAAATATTATCAATTAAAATTTGATAAAACGCAGATTTCGTGGAGGAAAAATATCAGTGTAAGTAATTAAGAAACTATTGCTTTTGGTCAGCCAAGTTAAGTAGGGTTCGTGGAGGAAAAAACAATTTGCTGATATCTAGAATTTGTAAAAAATGTAGGCTTAGGCATACGCCCCAAAATCTGTGGAAATTGTTGATAGAATATTAGTGGATTTTAGTACGACGGATATTTGTGGATTTCCAGAGACGCCAATAATTATATGTGTATTCATGTGTATATGTGTATGTATGTTTATCGCTATGGGTAAATGATAGCGAAATTGTAATCACAGAAAGGAATAAAACATTGTTTTTTCAATTACGTCATGGTATAAAATGTTTTCCTGAGTCGGGCCTAAATCAAGAATGCATATGATTTTTCGCGACACATTTTTTGATTGCAGAATGGTTTGCACATAGTGTTCTTTGGGTGATGGTAATTAGCGTAATCAAATGTCGAGTCGACCCTGCCCTACCCCCATTCGCGGGCTATTAATTTATTTCAATTATAACATACTATTTGTTTTCGCGAAAAGACAAAGTGCATGGATTTTAGATATTATGGGTTACGATGTTAATTAGTTCCTATTCTGACGCCAAAATGTTCTGGCAAATAGAATTTTGTTGTGTAAAATATTACAAAATACCAGTATTATTTTTCCAGATGCAATTTTTGTCTCGCAAAAAATTATTGAAGGGTTTTTGATTTTCTTAATTGCAATGTATTTTGATCTGAAAAATATTAGTAACTGAAATGTTGGTGGTGAACTCCGCCTAGATTTGCACAGGAATTCTAAAGATAATAAAGCATATAATATGCTTACTGCAGTAGCCAATTTTAAGGTAGAGTTTAGCAACTAGAATTTTGTTGTGTAAAATATTACAAAATACCAATTTTACTTTTTCAGATGCAATTTATGTCTTGCAAAAAAGTATTGAAGGGTTTTGGATTTACTTAATTGCAATGTATTTTGATCTGAGATATATCAGTAACTTAAATGTTGGTGGTGAACTCCGCTCAGATTTGCCCAGGAATTATAAATATAATAATGCATATAACATCCTTGCTGCAGTAGCCAATTTAAGGTAGAGTTTAGCGTTTGTTATTTAAATGAAATGGTAGACAAGATGCGGATATTGAAAGTAGGGGTTTAACGCTGTCGCATTTAGAGCTGCGAACAAAAAGCTCCGAGTTTTCTGCCGTAATTTGTTTTAGAAATTACTCCATGGTGTTGTTTCGTTTGTGAGAAATATTTTAGGATTCATTAATTGCATTGTATTCAGATCTGAGAAACATAAGTAACTAAAATGTTGAAGAGTAAATTTCGTCCGGTTTAGCCCAGGAATTAAAAGTACAATAATGCATACACCATGCCTGCCGCGGTACTTAACTGGAGCAAATGTTTTGCATTAGTCCTTCAGATGAAATTGTAGACAAGCTATGAATATGGAAATTAGGTCTTTTACGTTTTTGCTTTCAGTACCATAACAAATTGCTTCTATTTTTGGCGGAATTTGTTTCAGAAACGACAATATGTTATTTATTCGGGTGTAAGACATAGTTGTAGTATGTTATTAGACAGTTTTATAATATGAACATTTTATTGGAATAAAATATAGTTTCCTATAAAAATCGTTTTCTTTTTCAAAACCTATCCATATGATTAATACGTCTTGGTGAATCTTTTCTTAAGTGCTCCGACAATCCATATAAAGAAATTTAAAGCTTGTTCTTTTGTAAACAATTTGCTTGGCTTACCAAATCTCAATTAAATATTTTTCAAATGTACATGACTTAGAAATTATTCATGGCTGAATATAATAATTCGTTTTTTATTGATTAATTTTATAAGTATTTATTGAAAAGCATTCTTTGGCCAAAGTTAAAACAGGTAATGTGGTGGTAGTGAGTAGTTAACTTTGGTTGAGAATATTGAAAGCAAGCACCCACCAAAAAGTCAAGTTCAACAAAAGCTGCCATCCACATTATCCTTTTTATAGCTTTGTATTAGATAGTGAAAATGTGCTGGTGTTTCACTTTGATTTGTTGCCGGAAAAATTATAAAATTTTAAAAAGGACTGCCTTTGCCAAAACCCGTACTCACTGCCGCTACGTTGCCCTGATCATTGACGACTTTATCAATCAGAATGTAGTTTATTGAAAATATTGTTTTCTTTTCTTTTTCTTTCAATCCTGGAAATGTTAGAATATTAAAATCTAACATGTCATCAGAAAATTCTTTTGCACTAGCTTCACTGCAGACTGACAAACCCCTGAAGGACAGTGAAATGCAGGTGGATTCTACTGTTGGAAACAAGGACATCGACAATAAAGGAAAATCGTTAAATGAGTTGAAAAATTTTCGTATTCAACGAAAAAGAGAAATTGAAGATAAGTCTACAGATGAGGAACGCTTCGTTGGATCAACAACAAGACAGTATAAATTTGACAATGACATGGCAGAACGTAGATCTATTATAGAAATTCATATTGACAGCTTAGAAGTGGCAAAGAAAAATACTAATATGGAGATAGACAAATTAAAAACGGATGCAGTAGTTCCTACTTTGGAAACCTTGGAAAATGACCGTCAAAGTTGCAGTGATGACATTGTTCCAAATGAAAAACAAATGCAAAAAGTGGGAACTGACGATGATAAATTGGCAACACAAAATAAAGTTGAAAACTCAAGTCAGAATCGGACATTTGAATTGGAAAGCGCAGAAAAGAAAAACAAAAATAATAATTTCAGTCACGATGACAACAGTAGCAATTCCCAGAACGATGATGATAACTTTGAACAATTGGATAAATTAACACCAGAGGAGGAAATAAAAGACGAACTGTACCGTAGAACATGTAACCCGTTCCTACAACATCTACCATGCTTTAAACTTCAAACAAAAAATATTTGTGTCACCACTAATTCAGAAGGCGACGTTTCAAATAATGGAGGAGAACTTGGCACAAAAATTCACAAATGTAGAGAGTGCCGTCGCAGAACTCCCCAGCAAGGATCAAATGATGTATATTGTCGATTTTATGAATTTAGACTTCTTCGCTACACAGAAGATGGAAGACTTTTGGTGGCAGGTTTTCCGAATCCGTATACCGACCCCACACAAGAAGAAATTAATATATGGAAGCCAGATGAAAATACAGAACCAACTGCTGGAAATATGGATATACAAGTCTGTCGTTACATCTTGTTACATGTCGGTGATCAGTTTTGCTATCTTTGGCGTCAAGAAGCGGAAGCATTGAAATTGCACGAAAATGAAAATAAAATAATTGCATGGAAGAAAGTGGTTCAAGGAATAAGGGAAATATGCGATGTGTGCGATACGACACTGTTCAATTTCCATTGGACTTGTGACAAATGTGGATTCGGCGTCTGCATCGATTGCTTTAAAGACAGAAAGGAAAAGAGAACCGTCAGAAAAATACAGGCTGGTGATAAACCTCAAAAGGGCAGAGATGAATACTATTGGATGTTATGTTCTGGTGGGGTGAGCCATAATATTGGGGATTTAATGTTGACACAAATTATAGCCGGTGACTCTATGAACGTTTTAGGAAGATTACTGCATGATGTTAGGACCTTGTGGCAAATTCCTCAGCTATGTGGATGCTTATTGAGTAAACAACAATTACCAAATGGGCAACTTAAAGCCCTTATACAAGACATGATCAAGGAGTCACAGTTAAAACAGCAAACCAGTGATTCTTCTCTAGCTACAGAAGAAACATTGAGAAAGCAAGCCCGCTTGGAGCAGATACATTCGAAAGCACTTGAATTCGCTCGGTCTAATGGCATCGACTATGTCCCCGGTCGAACTCATAACAAACAAACCCTTGGGAAAGATCCAATAACAAGCGCTTTTGACAACTACAAGCACATTAATTTTTTGCGTAAAGGTTTGGCTGGATTACGTAGGTTTTTACCGCCCCGAGCTATGATTTTAACTCACTCCAGTTTAATAGCTCCCGGTGTGCCACACGAATGGCTTTGTGATGGCAAATTATTACGTCTTTACAATGCCAACCATCCCGATAACCGGATACTTTTCCAGGAAGTGTGGAAGTGCGGACAACCAGTTATGATATCGGAGGTTGCACAATCTTTAAATCTGGATTTATGGCGTCCAGAAGCTTTCTTAAGCGACTTCGGAGACAAACCGAATGATTTGATCAATTGTCTGAATGGTAATTTGGTGCCAAACCAACCCATGCGTCATTTTTGGGAAGGCTTTCAGTGTATGAAGAAAAGATTACTGGACGCTAATGGTAAACCAATGCTTCTTAAATTGAAAGATTGGCCACCAGGCGATGACTTTGCTGAAATACTACCGACGCGTTATAAGGACCTTATGAAGGGATTGCCTATGCCAGAATATACATTACGCACGGGACATCTCAATATAGCAAGTTGTTTGCCAAAAATGTTTGTACCACCAGACCTTGGCCCTAAAATGTACAATGCATATGGCTCAGCTTTCCATCCCGATAAAGGAACTACAAATTTGCACTTGGACATATCCGACGCTGTTAATATAATGGTATACGTAGGAATACCGGAAGATTCCGACTCTAAATCCCAAATATCAGCATCACGTAAAGCCATAGCTATGGGTGGTTGCGAGTTTCTAACAAGGGCTAGGGTTCAAAACGACAATGTCGTGGCAGGCGCTTTGTGGCATATATTTCCTGCCAGGGATGCTGATAAGATTAGGGACCTTTTAAACAGAGTTACATTGGAGAAAGGCTATCGTCTGGAACCTGACCATGATCCCATTCACGACCAGAATTGGTACTTGGACGATAAGCTGCGGGCCAGGTTATTTAAGGAATACGGCGTTGAAGGATACCCAATAGTTCAGTGTTTGGGAGACGCGGTATTTATTCCTGCGGGTGCTCCTCATCAAGTACAAAATCTGCATAATTGTATAAAAGTGGCAGAAGATTTTGTATCCCCGGAAAATATAACACACTGTTATCATTTGACTCATGAATTTCGACGGCTTTCACACTCTCATACAAATCATGAAGATAAGTTACAGATTAAAAATATCATATACCATGCTATTAAAGATTGTTGTACGATTCTAACAAGAGCTTTAGAGCGTCGGCTTGATGAAGAAATATCTCGGGCAGAAGAAATGAAGAAAACAATTCAGAAAATGTCTGACAGTACAGTAGATCCTATATAAAAATCTTAATATACATATATTTTAAAATTATTACCATAATTTCCGGTTATAAAATATTGCCGGCATTGCTCCGCCATTTATATGAATTACATACAAATAAAATTATAATTTTTTTCGACAAAGGAGAATTTGTTGTTTCTTTATGCAAGTAGCAATAGGGATATCAATAACTCTTACGATTACACGACGTATAATAAATACATTTTAATGAAAAAATTTTGCGCTAAAAATTCTAAATAAAAAACGCTTACATATGAAAAGAATAATAATTTTGCGTTTCCTTTGTTAAAAGTTTAAAGCAAAGCTTTTTGCAGGCAATTGGAAAATTTTTATTCATAAGAATACTCGATATAAAATGAGGTATTCTTAAAATCTGATTTTAAAAATTTTCCTATTACAACAGTACCTATATGTGGAAGGATTCAGACGCGACAGAGTTCATAATATTCAGCAATAAAAAGACTACAATGATTTTAAAAATAGGAGTCAATTATTCCTTTCCTTTGGATAGACATAAAACGACGTATATAAAAGTTTAGCATCTATTTTAGTTAGAGGAAGTGGCCATGTCAAACAAATACAATTAAAAACTATCTTGCCAAGAGTTATTTTTTACCACTTTCTTTTAGCAGAGTTCTATAAAAACGCGGTATTTATTCTTGCGGATGCTCCTTATCAAGTCTAAAATCTGCATAATTGTATAAAAGTGGCAGAAGACTAAAATAATTTTAAATTTAAGAATGAATTATTCTTGCTCCTCGGATATTCGTCAAACGACTAAAATCCAAAAGCTCTCCACTTCTTAACTAGGTTTGGGACATCAACTGGTTGCACGTCCAAAATTGTAAGAAAAATTATTAAAACCAGGAATTTTGGAGTTATAACTTTAGCATATATTTTAACAATCACATTTATCAACTATCTTGCCAAGAGTTATTATTGTATAAAAGTGGCAGAAGATTTTGTATCCCCGGAAAATATAACACACTGTTATCATTTGACTCATGAATTTCGACGGCTTTCACACTCTCATACAAATCATGAAGATAAGTTACAGATTAAAAATATCATATACCATGCTATTAAAGATTGTTGTACGATTCTAACAAGAGCTTTAGAGCGTCGGCTTGATGAAGAAATATCTCGGGCAGAAGAAATGAAGAAAACAATTCAGAAAATTTCTAACAGTACAGTAGATCCTATATAAAAATCTTAATATACATATATTTTAAAATTATTACCATAATTTCCGGTTATAAAATATTGCCGGCATTGCTCCGCCATTTATATGAATTACATACAAATAAAATTATAATTTTTTTCGACAAAGGAGAATTTGTTGTTTCTTTATGCAAGTAGCAATAGGGATATCAATAACTCTTACGATTACACGAAGTATAATAAATACATTTTAATGTAAAAGTTTTGCGCTAAAAATTCTAAATAAAAAACGCTTACATATGAAAAGAATAATAATTTTGCGTTTCCTTTGTTAAAAGTTTAAAGCAAAGCTTTTTGCAGGCAATTGGACAATTTTTATTCATAAGAATACTCGATATAAAATGAGGTATTCTTAAAATCTGATTTTAAAAATTTTCCTATTACAACAGTACCTATATGTGGAAGGATTCAGACGCGACAGAGTTCATAATATTCAGCAATAAAAAGACTACAATGATTTTAAAAATAGGAGTCAATTATTCCTTTCCTTTGGATAGACATAAAACGACGTATATAAAAGTTTAGCATCTATTTTAGTTAGAGGAAGTGGCCATGTCAAACAAATACAATTAAAAACTATCTTGCCAAGAGTTATTTTTTACCACTTTCTTTTAGCAGAGTTCTATAAAAACGCGGTATTTATTCTTGCGGGTGCTCCTTATCAAGTCTAAAATCTGCATAATTGTATAAAAGTGGCAGAAGACTAAAATAATTTTAAATTTAAGAATGAATTATTCTTGCTCCTCGGATATTCGTCAAACGACTAAAATCCAAAAGCTCTCCACTTCTTAACTAGTTTTGCGCTAAAAATTCTAAATAAAAAACGCTTACATATGAAAAGAATAATAATTTTGCGTTTCCTTTGTTAAAAGTTTAAAGCAAAGCTTTTTGCAGGCAATTGGACAATTTTTATTCATAAGAATACTCGATATAAAATGAGGTATTCTTAAAATCTGATTTTAAAAATTTTCCTATTACAACAGTACCTATATGTGGAAGGATTCAGACGCGACAGAGTTCATAATATTCAGCAATAAAAAGACTACAATGATTTTAAAAATAGGAGTCAATTATTCCTTTCCTTTGGATAGACATAAAACGACGTATATAAAAGTTTAGCATCTATTTTAGTTAGAGGAAGTGGCCATGTCAAACAAATACAATTAAAAACTATCTTGCCAAGAGTTATTTTTTACCACTTTCTTTTAGCAGAGTTCTATAAAAACGCGGTATTTATTCTTGCGGATGCTCCTTATCAAGTCTAAAATCTGCATAATTGTATAAAGTGGCAGAAGACTAAAATAATTTTAAATTTAAGAATGAATTATTCTTGCTCCTCGGATATTCGTCAAACGACTAAAATCCAAAAGCTCTCCACTTCTTAACTAGGTTTGGGACATCAACTGGTTGCACGTCCAAAATTGTAAGAAAAATTATTAAAACCAGGAATTTTGGAGTTATAACTTTAGCATATATTTTAACAATCACATTTATCAACTATCTTGCCAAGAGTTATTATTGTATAAAAGTGGCAGAAGATTTTGTATCCCCGGAAAATATAACACACTGTTATCATTTGACTCATGAATTTCGACGGCTTTCACACTCTCATACAAATCATGAAGATAAGTTACAGATTAAAAATATCATATACCATGCTATTAAAGATTGTTGTACGATTCTAACAAGAGCTTTAGAGCGTCGGCTTGATGAAGAAATATCTCGGGCAGAAGAAATGAAGAAAACAATTCAGAAAATTTCTGACAGTACAGTAGATCCTATATAAAAATCTTAATATACATATATTTTAAAATTATTACCATAATTTCCGGTTATAAAATATTGCCGGCATTGCTCCGCCATTTATATGAATTACATACAAATAAAATTATAATTTTTTTCGACAAAGGAGAATTTGTTGTTTCTTTATGCAAGTAGCAATAGGGATATCAATAACTCTTACGATTACACGAAGTATAATAAATACATTTTAATGTAAAAGTTTTGCGCTAAAAATTCTAAATAAAAAACGCTTACATATGAAAAGAATAATAATTTTGCGTTTCCTTTGTTAAAAGTTTAAAGCAAAGCTTTTTGCAGGCAATTGGACTATTTTTATTCATAAGAATACTCGATATAAAATGAGGTATTCTTAAAATCTGATTTTAAAAATTTTCCTATTACAACAGTACCTATATGTGGAAGGATTCAGACGCGACAGAGTTCATAATATTCAGCAATAAAAAGACTACAATGATTTTAAAAATAGGAGTCAATTATTCCTTTCCTTTGGATAGACATAAAACGACGTATATAAAAGTTTAGCATCTATTTTAGTTAGAGGAAGTGGCCATGTCAAACAAATACAATTAAAAACTATCTTGCCAAGAGTTATTTTTTACCACTTTCTTTTAGCAGAGTTCTATAAAAACGCGGTATTTATTCTTGCGGGTGCTCCTTATCAAGTCTAAAATCTGCATAATTGTATAAAAGTGGCAGAAGACTAAAATAATTTTAAATTTAAGAATGAATTATTCTTGCTCCTCGGATATTCGTCAAACGACTAAAATCCAAAAGCTCTCCACTTCTTAACTAGGTTTGGGACATCAACTAGTTGCACGTCCAAAATTGTAAGAAAAATTATTAAAACCAGGAATTTTGGAGTTATAACTTTAGCATATATTTTAACAATCACATTTATCAACTATCTTGCCAAGAGTTATTATTGTATAAAAGTGGCAGAAGATTTTGTATCCCCGGAAAATATAACACACTGTTATCATTTGACTCATGAATTTCGACGGCTTTCACACTCTCATACAAATCATGAAGATAAGTTACAGATTAAAAATATCATATACCATGCTATTAAAGATTGTTGTACGATTCTAACAAGAGCTTTAGAGCGTCGGCTTGATGAAGAAATATCTCGGGCAGAAGAAATGAAGAAAACAATTCAGAAAATGTCTGACAGTACAGTAGATCCTATATAAAAATCTTAATATACATATATTTTAAAATTATTACCATAATTTCCGGTTATAAAATATTGCCGGCATTGCTCCGCCATTTATATGAATTACATACAAATAAAATTATAATTTTTTTCGACAAAGGAGAATTTGTTGTTTCTTTATGCAAGTAGCAATAGGGATATCAATAACTCTTACGATTACACGACGTATAATAAATACATTTTAATGTAAAAGTTTTGCGCTAAAAATTCTAAATAAAAAACGCTTACATATGAAAAGAATAATAATTTTGCGTTTCCTTTGTTAAAAGTTTAAAGCAAAGCTTTTTGCAGGCAATTGGACAATTTTTATTCATAAGAATACTCGATATAAAATGAGGTATTCTTAAAATCTGATTTTAAAAATTTTCCTATTACAACAGTACCTATATGTGGAAGGATTCAGACGCGACAGAGTTCATAATATTCAGCAATAAAAAGACTACAATGATTTTAAAATAGGAGTCAATTATTCCTTTCCTTTGGATAGACATAAAACGACGTATATAAAAGTTTAGCATCTATTTTAGTTAGAGGAAGTGGCCATGTCAAACAAATACAATTAAAAACTATCTTGCCAAGAGTTATTTTTTACCACTTTCTTTTAGCAGAGTTCTATAAAAACGCGGTATTTATTCTTGCGGGTGCTCCTTATCAAGTCTAAAATCTGCATAATTGTATAAAAGTGGCAGAAGACTAAAATAATTTTAAATTTAAGAATGAATTATTCTTGCTCCTCGGATATTCGTCAAACGACTAAAATCCAAAAGCTCTCCACTTCTTAACTAGGTTTGGGACATCAACTGGTTGCACGTTCAAAATTGTAAGAAAAATTATTAAAACCAGGAATTTTGGAGTTATAACTTTAGCATATATTTTAACAATCACATTTATCAACTATCTTGCCAAGAGTTATTCTTTAATACTTTCTTTGAGCAGAGTTCTATAAAGACGCGATATTTATTTCAAGTCCAAAATCTGCACAATTGTATAAAAGTGGCAGCAAATTTTGTATCTCTGGAAAATATAACACTGTTATTATTATCCAAAACCAGGAATGTCGGCTAGATAACTTTTGCATCTATTTTAGATAGAGGAAGTGGCCATGTCGATCAATCACATTTGAAAACTATCTTGCCAAGAGTTAGTCTTCAATACTTTTTTTGAGCACAATTCTATCAAGACGAGATATTTATTCCTGCTGGTGCTCCTCATCAAATTCAAAATCTGCACAATTGTATGAAAGTGGGAGAAAATTTTGTATCCCCGGAATATATAACATACTGTTATTATTATCATAATGATTTTCAATTCCTTTGTTATAAGTTTAATCCTAATCTTTTTGCAGGCACATGAACAGTTTTTACCCATTAAAATATCCGATTAAATATGAGGAATCCTCAAAATTTGAATTTATACAGATTTTCTTATTATAACAGTACCTATATTTGGATGGATTCAGACGCGGCAGAGTTCGTAAGATTCAGAACAGTTTTTACCCATTAAAATATCCGATTAAATATGAGGAATCTTCAAAATTTGATTTTACAGATTTACTTATTATAACAGTACCTATATTTGGAAGGATTCAGACGCGGCAGAGTTCGTAAGATTCAGGATCTTAAAAAGACTAAAATAATCATATATTAAAAAATTAATTATTCTTCGGATATACACCAAACGACGTAAAATCAAAAACTCTACACCCATCAATTTATTTATTCCTGTGGGTGCTCCTCATCAAGTTCAAAATCTGCACAATTGTATGAAAGTGGCAAAAAATTTTATATCTCCGGAAAATATAACACAATGTTATTATTATCATAACAATTTTGCAATTCATTTGTTAGAAGTTTAAGGCAAAAATTTTTGCAGGCATATGCACTGTTTTTATCCATTAAAATATCCGATTTAATATGAGGAATCTTTAAGTTCTGATTTTACAGATTTTCTTATAACAGTACCTATATGTGGATGGGTTCAGAAGCGACAGAGTTCATAAGAATCAGCATTTAAAGAATACTAAAATAATCTTAAATGTAAGAATCAATTATTCCTTACATACACATCAAACGACGTAAAATCAAAAGCTCTACACTTT